AGGGGGATCCTTGGGTTGCTTCAGCAGGTGTGCAATGGGAAGAGCGAAGTTGTGGGTTAGGTGGAGAGGACTTTTGTCAGCTTGCTCCTCTGTGAAGCTGAAGGCTCCCCTCCAGTTCAGAGGCTCTGGGAGAGAGGAGACATCCTTGAGGGTGAGGTTGGAGCTGGCTGGGCTGTGTGCGCTTGCACCCAGGAGAGCGGTTATGGAGCAAGGACCCAGGTAAACGGGGTGTCTGCTCACCTTTCCCCGGGACAGCATGCTCCTTTGCTAAAGGGATGCTTAGGGAGAGAAGGCACTGGGATCTGGGAGCCCAGGACTGGTAGGGACCTTCTGGTCCAGCCCCTTGCTATCAGGGAGCAACTGGGTCAGACCCTTGAATTGAAATCATTGCACCTAGTGACCCATATACTCCATTTCCCCCGTGCGACACCCTGGGGTGGAAGGGTAGGGTCCTGCCTGTTGAACCTGGGCTCCTTGCCTGTGGGAAAAGTTGCTGTGATGGCCACAAATGTGATGCCAGGTCAGGCTGGGGGCCAGATTTAAAAGGAAGGAGTTTCCCTTTGCCAGCACTGGCTGGGTCTTCAGTATGCTAAAGGATCTGCTGGGAGGGGGGAGCATTGCTAATCCTGGAGGCTAATAACCACTGTGATGAAAGTCAGCACGATCCAGTCTGGTGGATCACAGCTGCCCTTGGCTGAAAATAATAAGTATGGAAACAGCCTTTCTCTTGTAATTGCCTTGGCTTTGCTGGTGGAGCTTTGCAGCAATTTGTTTCTGGGCAGGTGCCTTGATTAATTCTGAGCGCAAAATCAGTGTTAAAACTGTGACACCTGGCACTCTTCTCCCTGTAGTCAGACCCACTAATCCTGCACTTACCTATCTGTTCATGGATAGTCTCCGGCACCTATCACTGCCACTGCGTGTCCCTCCCTAAAGCCAGACACAAATACCTCTGTGTCTTCTACAATCGCTTCGGGTCTTGCTGGACTGTATTTTGTTGCTATAAAAAGGTGGGTAGAAAAGATTTCCAGGGGATGCTTAATCGCAAAGAGATGCGACTGAGAAAAAAATAATTTGGAAAAAGTGATGAGGGTGCGAACGTTGGTGAGTGATGTGATGACTTTTATGTAGGAATTGTAGTGCCTGGGGTTGGGTGGTGCTCCTGTTATATCCCTTAATGTGCCTTTGCTGCAGAAGTCTGGGTTTTCTGTATGGAGTGGGTGAATATGGAGCCATCTCTGACCCTATGGTTTTCTCATATCTTGCATGTGGTATGAACTCTCAGCCTGCACCTTTTGAGGGCATTAGCAGTGGTGTAAAACTGCTCCTTGAACTCCTTTCAGCCTGGATGGAAAAGTAACCCCGCAATGCTGTCGCGCTCCGGCTTTTCTATGCTAGCGAACTGCTGCAGGCAGGGTAGAGACGCACCATTTAGACTAGCTGAATCAGAGATGCGCAAGTCACAGCTCGCTTCATCAGATGCAAACCGTTTTCTTTGCATCTCCAGCTCGGTGCGGGGAGAAAAAAAGCCCAGGATGTAATCTGTGAGCCTATATACCTTTTATTCTTCTTCTTTTTTTTTATTCAAGTGGCTTTCAACAAATGCCCTTATGCTACAAGATCAGTTTGTGAGGCTCTTCGTGATGGGAAGGAAGCGGAGTCAAATCTCCAAGTAACAAACTCTTGGCCCATTGGGACTTCTGGGTTGTGTCTCTGCCGCGTCCCAGAGCTGCTGGACGCTTTGGCCCGGCCCGGCTAGGACTTGGTTCTTCTGCTGCAACTTGCCTGACTTAAAAGAGAATCTCCCCAAGCCCGTAGTCGTATAGGACCAGTGACACACAGACGAGCCATTTCTGTTGCATCTGGTATGTGTTAATTAATTCACTGCAACACCCACAGATGCTTTGCTCAGACTTATTTGAAAGCTTCCTGTGGCCTCTGGGCCCTGGGACTCGTCTTGCAGGGATTTGAGCTTCGATCCTGGGATTGTAGCTCGGCTAGTAAGTGGTGAGGTTAGGTCACTAGACTGGATGCTTTCTCATAGCTCATGCTTTAAAACCAGAGAGGCACGTGCAGAGAGGCACGTGCCCTCAGTGGGTTATTGATAATACTGCCTAAGTGCCGAGAGTTTGGTCACACTTGGTGCTTTATGTTCCTGCTGCTTTTTAGATGGAGAAGAGCATGCGGTGAAAGGGAAGGAAGCGCTGCGGGAGTCTCGTAGTTTTGCCCTTAGCAACGGACACAAAACAGCCCCCCTCTTGCTACCGCCACATCCTGGCCCGTAGTGCACGGGCTTCCCCGAGACCTACGTCAGAGGTGCCATCTGCACAACAAAGTTGTTTTGGGGGGACAGGGGAGGGCTGTTGAATCCAGGGGGAGGTTACCAGCTGCACATGGAGATGCAGGGAGCAGCTGTAGCCTGTGTAGCTAGGAGGCAAAGCCATCTGGATTTGGGACTGCAGCATACAGGGCGTGCCAAGGGATAATGGCATGGCCACGTGGCTTTGCACCCACAAACCTGGCTGCTGTGGAAGGGGGACGCCTGGTGCTCGTCTTCCCTGCGCTCTCCTTTCTCCTATCTCCATCGCCCCTCACTCCCAATCGGGGTCGGGGTCTCTGTCTCTGCTCGGCTAGCGAAGCACACCGAGGCAGGGCTGGGTAGAGGGCTCTGGACTGATTGCGGGTCTTTGGCTCCCTTGGAAGAGAAACCTTGGGCTACTCCTAGCCCACCCTCATACTCTGCTGTAGTAGGCGATGATCTCCCTCTTGGGCAGGCTGACGGGACCGAGCGGCTGGCTCTCGCCAGCCCAGCCGTTCCTGTTCTGGAAGAGCTCCTGGTGGAGGCACAGAGGGGGCTTGCATTTGTGCCAGCTCTTCAGGAGCTTGTTCATGGTCCCCTGGTCCGTGATGCCCAGCAGCTTCTCCTTCTCCTCCCCTGCCTCGGAGGGGGTTTTCTCAGGCAGGTGGGGGTGCCCCATGCCCATGTCCTTGTTCATGGCCTCGAAGAACTGCTGGATGCAGACCTTGGCGAAGCTCTTGGCGTGCTCCGTGCAGGTCTCGTCGAACAGCTTGCGCTCGATGTCGATGTAGTGGGACCAGTACTTGCTCTTCAGGAAGGCGGCCTGAGTGAAGCAGGGCCGCAGGGACCGCACGAGGAACGCCAGCATGGTCATCAGCAGCACGAAGCACCAGCCCAGAGCCTGCAGGGGTGAGGAGAGGGAAACCAAGCTGGTCACAGGGCGGAAGACCGAGAGCAGGGCCTTGCAAAAACCCAGGACTGAAGCACAAATCCCTGCCAGACAAGTCCCTCTCTAATAATAAGATGGGCACCTTTAAATATAGGACAAGGGTCTACCATAACCACAATTCTCCTTTGCCTGTCGAGAAACAAACTGGAGAGCATTTAAGTGTCAGACTAATGATACAGGCTGGGACGGTATTGCCTTTTAAGAGGTGATGGGTGGGGAGAGGCGGGTAGGGCATGGCTTTGATTATAGCGGGGGAGAAGGCTGTTGGCAGGTTTCACCGGGCATGAATTGAGCAAAGCCCCTGTAGATAACATCTCCGTCATCGGGGACTGAATCGGCACCGTTTCGAGCCGGAGGTGACTGGAGTGAGAGGAAATGTCCCCTTATAGCCACGGTGTGTATGGCGGGAAGAGAAAAGAGAGGATATGGGCGAGTCCGAATGGCCGCTGCACCTCCGCACCTGCAAATAACTCGGGTTTGGGGAGGTGGGGGAGTCCGTATCTCCTTCCCAGAGCCTCAGCACTACGGACATTAAAGAGGCAGCTGCTGCCTGCGTAGAGATGAAACCCACTGCCCACGATTCCCAGCCAAGTGCCCTGGCAGATTTAGGTGTGCGAATGTGGTTCACGCAACAAACCCGGAGATTGCAAATAGGCATCCAGAGTGATTAAAGCCCTTCTGATCTGTTACGGTCTTTCTGAGTTTTCTGCAACAAAAGAATTGCTTCGTTATTTTTTCTGTGGTCAAACAAACGGCAAAAGCTAAGAGCCGGCCTTTTCTGAGGGTGCCTTGAGTCTGCCAAGGTTGAGAACCGCTGTACTGCAACCTCGAGGGGTCTCGTTGGGCCCGAGGGCAGGGAGGCAGCTCTCTGGGGCCCTTGTGCTTTCTTCGCTAGAAAGACTTCTTTTCTAGAAAGAAAAGACTAGGTCGACTGCTGCCCTGTTATCCCAGTGTATCACAGCAAGTTAGACCTCTCGATCTGGTAGGAAGTACCATAGAGACCCTGTGGATAGCTTCATCCCGAGCTGGGGAGCTCTGCTATTTTCTGGCCCGGGATTGAGCATAGATAGCTTTCATACCAGTAATGCGTTATGGGGTGGAGCAGTGGAGAGTCTGGGCGGGGGGTGTACTCTCAGACTCGTCCGTCCGTGGGGTGCTTAGGGGTTTGGTGTTGGCCTGGGGCTCTCGGGATGCCCCGGTTTGCTGGCAGGGTCTCTTTGTGCATGTCACCACTTCATCCTCTTCCTCTGCTCCCCTGAGCTAGCAGAGGGGGGCAGGTGCTGTTTGAATCGCCGGAAGCTGATGCTTAGCCGTGGTAGACTGCCGTTTTTAATGAAGTTTATTAGCAACCGGAATTTATACCAGGAGTAGAGCCAGGCTCTACCGTAGCAAAGCTGGCAGGTGTCTCCCTCATGCTATTGCATACGTGTACTGCTGACTGGAGTCAGAAATACTCCGTGTGTGTGTGTGTGTGTCATGGGCTCTGCACGGCTAGTCACTAATGGAGATTCCCCTTCAGCTCCAATGGCAAGGACCTGGGCTTCTGGGAGTACGAGCTCTGTCTCCAGCCATTGCCATGGCCTTTCAGGTGGCTGCACTTGCATGGCAGCAGTGACTGCTATATTCCAGGTGGGTGTTGGTACGCTGGTGCACAAGGCAATCCCCCGCCTGGCTCGGAGCACTGCTAACCTAGCGAGCGAGCGAGCGCAGAGGGACTGGAAGGGATAAGTCGCAGCTCGTAAACCAGCAGAGCAGCCAGAACTGAAATGCCAGCGCTGAAGACAAACTGTCCTGTTTGGACTGTCGGGTGGCTCTTGCCTCCGAGCTGCAGGGAATTTGCATCCTTCATAAACTGCCAGGAACAAACAAGCGGAGGGCAGGCCTACTGACGTGGGCACCTTTGCTTGGCGTCACTTATCGTTTGGCTGCATTTACATTGCAAATGAGAAGGGCGCACAAACGAGACAAATCGTGCAAACACAACTACACGTGCTTGTGCTTTTGACGTGGGTTGGCCTTAGTTGATCTCCCACCGGCACAAGCTCTCTGGACCTCCCCGGCTTTTGTTTTGTATTGCAATTATCATAAGTGATACCAGACCAAACGGAGTATCTAGCCTGGTGTCCTGTCTCCGAGCACTGCCTCTATCGGTGCTTGACTCGCCAAACAGTGCAATCCCATTTCATGGGAAGCCCTGACGAACAAGGCCTTGTAGTCCTTCTATTGGCTTTGGTTGCTGCCAATGCTGCCCTCCATCCTACCATGGTCTAACTTTCCTTGCGAAGTTGTTGGACTTGGTCACATCCAGCATGAGTGAGCAATGGCAAACAGGCTTTCTGCAGAGCGGTTGAATCTGGGAACAGCATCAAGGCCTATGTGGCCTGTACTCCGCCAGCCCCAGGCCAAGCAAGCTTGGCTTTTTTGGGATGGATATGCGTCCTTAATGCAGTCCGACCCAGATGCCCTTGTGTGACAGCCCCATACTGTGTCTGTAAGTCTGCTTGGTGCTGACCCTGCTCCTTGGTGGGAATGCTTTCCAGAGCTCTGAGCAGGACCGAAGATCTAGGCTCCATCCCCATCTCTACCCAGGACGGTGCCTCGTGATCTTGTCCTATCTCTGCCTCCATGTCTCTACTAAAAATTGAGATAATAATACTTCTCTGCCTTGGATATAGGAGGGTGGGATTAAGACTTTTAGGGAACTAGTATGTCTCCCCCTTATCGTGCCAGGCTGCTCCAGGATTAGACGTGCTGCGTTTGGGAAGCCGTGCGTATGGCATGTAGTCATTACAATTAAATGGACATCTGCTTTTCAGATTCATAAAAACAAAACCTAGCCGCCTTGAGCATCTTGACAGTGCATCCCAGTGCATCACTGGAAGTTATTTCTACACCTGAGTTCATGTTCACCTGAGCTAATTTTGTTTGCTAGAGTTAAAAGCAGTCCTGTAGGGCTGTGAAATAAGAGCTATGTGGCCGGGGGCAGCTAACAGATGGCAAAATTGCAGAAGCAAGAACGATTTGACTAGTGCAACATCAAGACCATTAAAAAGAAGACCTGGTTGTTAACACCTGTGGATTGAAGAGTTTAGGAGGGATTGGGGAGATCGCTGCCAGCCACTTGGTTTAAACTTTGGGTGGACCAGGAGTCAGTGTGTCGGGGGGTGACTATCCACAGGGACCCCCCCAGATCTCCTGCTCAGACTACTCCAGTATAATCTATTGAACATTGCCTGGACTCTGTGAGAGAAAAAAGCTGCCCAAATACATGACAGGTGCAGGGCCGCATTTCAGGGCTGGGCAGGCAGCTGTAGCTCTCGGTGATGTCAGTGGGAATTTCCCCCGTGTGCCAGGGCTGAACTTAGCCCAGGGCTTGTAGGGGTCATTTACCCACTGCCAAAATGCAGCTGCTTTAGAACAGAACATGCAGGTTGCTTAATATGTGAGTTTAGGGGAGGAAGCAGCTGAACCTCGCAAACTTAGGGAAGCATTATCATACTGGGACATGGCCAAGACACTGAGGCTGTCACGTTCATTATCAAGCAACCACCCCAGCTTTGCAAAGACAACACTGGCTTGGAGCTAGGTTGAGTGTAGACTAAGGGAAGAGTACCTGTTTTGATCTCCCACCCAACCCTGCTTAGCTTGAGAGACACGCTGGCATCACTCGGCAGCTAGCGCTGGCCCCTCTCTCTCACCTGCGAGATGCAGCGCAAGTATCTGATGGCCACCTCGCTGGGGATGAGCTGCTGCCCATCGTAGATCTCTTTGCAGGGGATCCGGGCCAGTATCCTCTTCATCTCCTTCTCGGACAGGCCCGTGTAGCTCAGGTTCCCCAGCTTCTCCACCGGCACCGAGGTGCTGAATGCACACAGGATGCACTTCCCGTCCAGCAGCGTCACGGAGATCCAGACCGCGGGCGCGATCATGGCCCGCTGAGCCATGGAGCAGAACATGTAACGCAACACGGCCGGGTCCTTCTGCCTCATGCCCGTCGGCCTCTTCCACTCCTCCGCCAGCATGGACACGTTGTTGTTCATCACGAACCCCAGCAGGAAGAGGACGAGCGGGGGCACGAACAGGATGCCCAGGCCATAGGCCAGGTTGTAGTGCGGCAGGCAGGGGCAGTTGAAGTCAAAGGCCGCGTACATCTGGGCGCTGGCAAGGGCCATGATCCCACAGATGCCGTTCATGAACGACTCCTGGTTGGACTGGAGGAACTGGAAGATCATCCGGAACTTGTCCATCTTCCCCGCCGGCTTTCGCCCTGCTCCTCAACCCGGCGTCTCGTCTCGCTTCACTTTCCTCCTCCAAAGACCGAGCGCATCTCTGCAATGGTCTCTGACTACTGCTCATTGCATTATTCAGTCCCTGGGAAAGGATCCTGCTTGCCGAGTCCCTGCCCTGGTATTAAAGCCATTTTCTTTAGCTGAAGGCTGGCAAAAGTCCCAGCTGGGCTTCCCCACCTTTGCCGAGACCTACGAACACTGCGTTCTCAGAAGCTCCAGGGCTCGGAAAGCGTCCTTCTCTGTTCTTCGTTGTACCCGCATCCCTCCAGCTCTTCGGTCACCTATGCTTTGGCTTGCCTGGGGGCGCTGGCGTTGTAGCTTTGTGCTCCGTGTCTGTTCTTGCCAGTAAAGGGAGTTGCCTCAACTCCGTCAACCAGCTTGCAAATGTGCTGGGGCTGCTGAGTGCTCCTCCCACACCTCTGCACGAAGAGGGCCGAGAGCACGCGCCCCACCTCCCGGAGAAAGGATGGCAGGTGTGCAGACGCTCCTTGCTCTCGCAGGGTTTTGAGGCCCCGGGGTACAACTGCAGTGATTCATGAGCTCACCAGCCTCCTTTCCCTGCGGTGCGTTTGCTTTTTTTGGGGAAGTGGTGTTGACTCCTCGCTGTCGTATTCTAGGTGGGGAAGGGAGGTTAAGGGGAGCCTAGAGCGAGGAGGAGTAAATTCCCCCGTGCTCCCACGTGATATCACCAGACAGCAGTGATCTCCTCTGTTACCCCTGCCTCGGTCTCGCAGACACACGCATCTACAACCAGACGGCACTGGTAGCATTTAGGACTCTCGCAGGGCTGTGCGCTCAGGGATCACCAAGCCCTTTGCAAAGGCTAACCCTTGTAGTCTCACACCATCCATGGGCAAATGTCATTCTCTCTGGCCTTAAGGAAATGAAGTTTGGAGCCAGGTGGCCTGGCTTCAGCCTCTAGACGCGCAGGGCCAAATCTGTTCATCGCTCAGTAGAGTAGCACGCAGGATGAACTCTCTGGCTCCGGAAAGCCTTGAGGAAGAGAAATGTTAAAAAGCCAGCCCTTCTAACTGGGCTTTCTGAGTGTTGTAGATATTGGGACCTCCCCAAGGAAACATTAAGGTCCCCTGGCTGGGTAATGGTAGGATGGCCATGGCTGGCCGCGGCCTGTCTTTCTTACTGCGTGAATCAAAATGAAGTTGGATATTCTCACTTTCTTCTCCGGTGTGAGAGAAACCTCTTGGCTTACCAGGGAGACGGGGATACACCTGGATGGGATAGACCTTGTTTGACAGATGGGGAAATGGCTTGAAGTTGCTGCAAAGTAGGTTTGCATTGGATATCAGGAAAAAGGTCTTTGTAGTTAAAACAGTGAGGCAGCGGGCTAGATGCCTAGGGAGAGGCATGGATTCGCCATCACCGGAGGTGTCCGAGAAGAGGTTCAGCCACTGGTCGGGGATGACCTGGGTGTAGCGATGCCTGTGTTGTACTGTGGGGATTTGCTGGTTGCCCCCTTCTCTCATCTTTCTGCTACATGCATCAAGGTATTTTTAAGCCTTCCTCAGAGGCCTCGAGTGTTGGCTGCAGCCAAGGCTGGGGACTTGGACTGGGATGTGCCAGTGCTCCTGCAGGGACTCGAAGCTAGAGGGTTTTGCGTCTCCACTCGGGGTCAGACCGATGGCCATATTTGGGGTCAGGAAGGGATTTTACCCTGTTGTCAGATTGGTACAGATTGGGGAGGGTTGGGGTGGGGGGGTAGTCCTCTACCTGGGATCTCTCGAGTACAACATGGACTCCCAAGGGAGGTGGTGCTCTCTCCTACCTTGGGGGTCTTCAAGAGGAAGCTGGACAGATATTTGGCTGGGGTGTTATGACCCCGGCACTCGTTCCTGCCCAGGGCGGGGGGTCGGAGCTGATGATCTGTTTAGGTCCCTTCCGACCGTAAGCACTATAAAAGGATGAAACAACTGTTTATAGAAGTAGGAGGCTGGCTGCTGCGGTTCCCCTGCTTTCCCTGTGCCAGGATCGGGTGTGGGGTCGTGTGTTGTGTTGGGGTTGACACTAGCTTTACGACGAGTTTAGATTCTGGATGTGTATGAGATGGTTTGGACAGGGCTGATCCTGCCTCAGGCAGGGGGTTGGATTAGATGTGACCTCCAAAGGTCCCTTCAAGCCCGACTTCTCCATGACTTTCTGAGTCTCCGAAATGAAGGCATTTAAAGGAGGGAGGTATAGTCCAATGGTTAGGGCAGTAGCTCAGGATTTGGGATGCCTGACTTCAATTTCCAGCTCTCCCTGAGTATAGAGAGAGACCCTGAGTGTATCCCTCTGGCCCTGAGTCTCTTCCTAAACAACTTGTTGAATAACAGCAATGCTGTTGAGGCCCTGTGCCCTATAGTAAAGCTTGTGAGGTCCTTGGATGCTATGGGAAGGGGTGTGGGTAATATAAAGGCAGCAGTTGGCACACACAAAGTAAGTGATTATTGTCCACGGTCTTGGAGTAGGTCGCTGGAGGAAGGAGGAACAGAATTCAGGAGTCTGGCTCCTTAGCCAGAGGGATGGCTCTTACTGCTCTGCCTCCCAGACATCCCGATGGTCATGCCATCCCATGTCTGATGAATGCTGAAAAGCACTCTCATGTCAGCCAGGCAGCCTTATCTGTTTGCAGCTCAGCACTTGACTGCATGCTCTCAGCAAACCAGGACAGATTTGGCTGCATGGATAAAGAGGAGGCTTGTGATGGAGAAACTCTATGTTGCAAGGTTAGTGAAGAGCTAACTGGTTCCTTCGTTCACCTGGTGTTTGAATTTGGGGACGTCAAGGGCAGGTCACATCAAAGCCCCAGTGAGTCAACCCAGTAAAAAGCCTCCCGTTGTTTGCAGTGGGGTTTTTGATCTCCAGAAAAGTATTGTCTTGCATTAACCACAGTGTACAGGCCTGATCCTGCAACTCTCACTGAAGTCAACGGCAACTTGGCATAGAAAGCTATAGGAACCACGGTCTCGATCTCTCTCCTCTCATTGCTTTCATAGCGTTCAAGCTGTTGCTTATGAAACCTTATGCCTCTCTGAATTAGTTAGTCTCTTAAAGTGCCAGCTTGCCCTGCCTTCTGTCTCAGGGCTTTCTTAGCTGTTGGTTTTTGTTCAGTGAGTCTACTTGCTGCGGGCTAACTTAGTGCACCTTGGGACATAATGCGAGATTAGGACGTTCCTTTCAGGACCTGGCATGCTAATGCTTTGTTTGGTGTTTGCACGCAGCAAATCCATGGATGCGACGCTTTAATTCCCAGCGAGCCAAACTAAGCTACGTCCGAGGAGTTTTACTTTAACGCACAAGAAAGTCTTTCAAAACATGGGGAAATCATACTCGTGCAAACAGATATGGAGTTGCAGCGCGTGAACGGGCAAAAAACGTGGTGTGTACATATGCCCTTGGGAGCTATTCTCTCCCGGGGCTGGGCAAACTCATGGCATGCCTTTTTTCTGGGAATTATCTGCACCCCAGGCATTGCTTTTTCATGAGTTTAACTCTCATTGACACAGTAATGCGGTGCATGCAGCTTTGTCTTTGCTTTCTGACTCATTCTATCTGAGGATCCCAGGACGCTTTATGCTCGAGCATTAATTAAGCATCAGTCCCCTCCAGGGACGTAGGCAACTTTGGTACCCCTCCTCTTACAGGTGAAGAAGGTGAGGCACAGAGAGGGGAAGTGACTTGCCTAAGTTGAATGGAGTCTGTGGCAAGTGAGAAGACGCCCCAAATCTCCTGCCGCACAAACCGCACGGCTGTCCTTTTTTTTTCCCTCCCTTCTGCACCCGTTTCTCGCAGCCCTTCTTGAGCGATTTGAAGCCTGGAGAACATGAAAATCAGTATGCAAAAGGGCCCTGCAGAGAAAGCTAGACCATCAGGCTGAGCCCCCATAGGAAAACAACTCATTTGACTAGTGCGTGCCGAACAGGATGGATCGGATTTCCCCAGCTCTGATTTCCAGCGCTGCATCAGGGAGAAGTACATTAAAATCGCCCACCCCTGCCCCAGCGGGAGGGAGATGCCATCGGGTCAGCAGAGCCCACGAATGCAGCTCGGGTTGGACATGAAAAATCACACGAGTTATTTACCAAAGGGGCCCAGAGAGACGTCTCATTAAGCTGGAAAATCTATAGTCGCGGGAGGACCGGCGCGTGGTTCAGCCCCGATGCTGAGCCCCGCTGGGAGCCAGGAGTGAACTGGCAGATTGATAAATAAACTGCTCCTTTTTTAATGTATTCAGAGACTGTGGGCTGATAAGATGCTGATGTGAGGGAACAAATGAGCTGAAGCGCTGCATTTCATGAGCACGGCCCGGAAAGGGGGAAATCTGTGTTTGTAATGCCAAAAAGCTGTTCTGCCATTTCATAGCCCCTTTGCCAAAGTATCTTGTTGCTCCACGTTCCTGAATCCCTGTTTGTGAGCCAGTGTCCTGCCTTCCCAGATGAGGATGGGGCAGCACACATAGCAGAGACGGGAGCGAACGTGGCTTGTTATAAGCAGAAAGGGTGTTTCTAATGGGGTTGTCGGGCCCTGATAAATCTCTGACTTGCCGTTTGACTGAAGCAGCTGGTGCTGCCCTTGGTTGCCAGCCAGCCTCCCCACCCCTTCTCTTGCCCCCCCAAATCCTGACCTGGAATATGTAACTATGGGATGAATTGTAGACAGCGAGGGCTGGAAGGGACCTCAGGAGTGCATCCTTGCAAAGACTACCATGTGCATGCTCCAGTTGGGTTTTTTTTCTAGCACATCCTCAAAAGCTGACCTTCCTGAGCACAGATCCGTGCTGCTAGTGAGGCAGGACCTACGCTCACCTGCTTGCAACAAGTGGGGCCTGACGAGAACAAATGGGGGAACAACTGCTTTAATCGGTGGCGCTGGACAGAAACGTAAGCTACACTGGCATTAAAGTTGGAAGTCTGATTTTAATGGTTTAACTCCTCCTCTCCCCCAGCAAAATACTAGCATTGTCATGTTATAAATCTAGGAAAAACAGACTCAAGATAAAGTGAAAAAAGAACTGGGATTATGTGGACACGAGTATAGAAATGCATAAGGGAGGCACCTGACTTTAACTCTGCCCACGCGGTGGCATTCACCCCTCCTCCCACACCTTGAAGACTGAACATGGGGTGTTTTGAAATCTGAATTCAAATTTTGGGGCAACCAGTTGGTGCCCACTTGAACTGGGTTCCTGCTGCAATAGATAAATCCCCCGAGCTGGCATCAGGAAGCTGGACCTAAATTCTGTGGCATAAAGCTATTGTTTGTTTTTTTTTTTTAAGTGCCATCAGCTTATATTTAAAGCACAGCAATGGAGGCTTTCTTGAGTTCATTTGAAAATCCCACACAGCAGTGGTTTTTAACCTTTAGGGGTCTGCAAATTAAAAAAAAAAAAATGTTTTTTTAATGGAGATGCAGACCCCTTTGAATTGTAAGTGTGGGTATTCACATGCTTTTGATTGATCATAGTCCTCTATCACGGACCCCTTAGACATTGTCCCCCACGGTTCTGCAAACCACAGGTTGAAAACCATTGCCATGCGGTATGATGATTTCTCTGATGGTTTGGTAGGAAGCTCGGTTCGGTAACTTCTAATTTTCAACAGGCAACTCTGTTTTGTTCTGGAAATACAAGGCAATCGAAGAGAGTGGTAGGTGAGATGGGGGCAGGTAGGGTTTTTGGCATATGGGACAATGCAGGAGCTTTGGTTTTTAGGGTAACCGTGTTGAAACCATTTCAGCAGCAAGATCATTTCGGGACAGCAGCATTAACTGCCTAGATTTCAATTAGCACAGTCCCTGGCAAGGGGTGGGAGAAGCTCGCATCTCTCCTGGCTGTAATTTCAAGCTGATAAGACTCGGGCACATGCTACTGCATTGGTTAAATACTATTTCCACCTGATGGGTTATTTCACAACTCGGGGTGGGGGTGGTCTACAGTTTTTTCGGGTTTTTCTTTTTCGGTTAAGATAAATGACCAACATAGCCACGTGGGAATCATCAGCAGTCATGATCGTCCTTGGGACCTCTGTACATTAATGCAAGAGTGTCTACTGCCCTTCTCATTGTGTTGGCACTGTGCTGAAATATTGGCTTGGGGAGCTGAAATGTCGCCAGCTTAGGGAAAGCTGGAGCAGCTCCGTCCTACCTATCCACCCGGACTGCTCCTCGGGACCTGCTTCCCTTGTAAAGAAGACGTTTCGGCAGGACCGTGCCCCTTTAAACGTCTGTTTGCCTGGAGACGTTGGCCTTCTGGGCAGCTGCCCACCTGTTATTTACAGTGTCCCCCCAGGGCGCGGATGTGCACGCTCTCTCCTTGCCCGAGGGCTGCCGCGGCGTGGTCTGGCTCACGTCTAAGGGCGGCTTGCCAGAGTACCACGTTTTTAGGAGCTTGTTCACCTGCTCCTGGTCTGTGATCCCTTGCAGGTGATCTGCCTCCCCTTCGCCCTCTTCTTCCCTCCTAGGCATGTTGAAGCGCCGCAGCTTGATCTCCGTCCGCATGCTCTCGAAGAAGTGGAGGATGCACTTGTTGGCGAAGTCCCGGGCGTGCTCGCAGCAGGTCTCCTCAAAGATCTTTTGCTCCATGTCGATGTAGTTGCTCCAGTAGCGCGTCTGCACAAAGGCAGCCTGATTGAAGCAGGGTCGGAGCCAGCGGGCCAGGAAAGCCACCACGATAAGGAGCAGCAGGATACTCCAGCCCAGGGCCTGGGTGACGAGGAGAAAGCAGAGAGGCAGGATCAGAGGCAGAGGGAAGGGCATTGGTGTCCGAACACAAGAATTGCCCTTGACTGGGTCAGATCATGGGTCCACCTTGCTCAGTCTCCTGTGTCCGGCGGAGGCTGGAAGGGAGAGTGAACAAGGTCCGACCAGGGTTTTCCTCCTGTTCCTCCCTCACTTGCAGCCTCCAGCACTGACGGTCCAGCCAGGTCTGATTCGGAGGCCGTGCTCCTCGCTCCCACGCTCAATATCTACTGATGCCCCTTTCCTCCAAGAATGTGTCCAGTCCCTTTGTGAATCTGGCTGAACTCTCCGCTTCCACCACATTTAGCAGCAACGAGCTCCACGTTTTAATTACGCTCTGTGTGAAAAAACTTCCTTTACTTAGTTTTAAACTTACTCCCTACTAGTTTCATTTTGTGACCCCTAGCTCTTGTCTGGTGAGAAATAATAAATCCCTATTGACTTTCTCTTCATCATTTAGTATTTTGTAAACCTTTATCATGCCCCCCCTCTGAACTGAGATGGCTTAGTCTCTTTAGTCTCTCCTCATATGGCAGCCCCTCCATAGTCCATACCATGACTCATCCTTGCTGTCCTTTTCTGGACTTTCTCTAGTTTTTCTAGATTTTTTTTGAGGCGTGGGGACCATAATTGGGCCCAGTATTCAAGGTGTGGATGCACCGTAGATTTATAAAGGGGCATTATGATGGTTTCCATTTGGTTTACAATTCCCTTCTCAGTAATCCCTAACACTTTGCCTTTGTCTGGCTATCTGTTGTGTGCAATATTCTTTATTTTGTACATTAAGTCACCATCCTCCGCTGCATCTAGGTGCCAACCAGCAAGACAGCGATCTACTTTTCTGCTACCCTGGGTGGGTGACTGTGAAGATGGACCCCTTCAGTGTCAGGGAAGTGGAGCCCAATCTTGCTCCAGGTTTAGTTCATGGCAAAGCTCACATCAGCTCCAGAAGGAGCAGCTTGCAGGTCTCTAGACTGCTCTCCATGCCCTTAAGAAAGGCTGTGACTTACTTGCGACCAGCATCTCAGGTACCTGGAGACGGCCTTCCGGGAGGTGTTGTTTCTCATGAGTTCATCCTCTTTGCAGGGCACTTTGGAGAGCAGGAGCTGTGTCTGCATCTGGGTAAGGTTGGCAAAGCCTGCAAACTTCTCGGGGTCAATGGAGCCACTGAAAGCGCAGATGAAGCATTTGCCGTCGAGGAGGGCGACTATGATCCAGACAATGGGAGCAACCATGGCTCGCTGAATGATGGAGGAGCACATGTACCTGGGTGCGGGAGAGAGAGGACTGAGTAAGTGCTTCCTTGATCTCCTGGGAAACTGGAGGCTTATACTTGTCCGTGGCACTCGGCTGGCACAGGCATCGGTAATGTTACCTAACGATACTCCTTCACCCAGCCAGCTGAGCCATTTACATTGATCCAACTGATGCCTCCTCTGCTCTTGAATCTCCTCCCTGACTTTTTTGCCTTGACCTGTTCTCCAGGGGTCTGATTTGCAGCCCAGTGGCTTTTTGCCCAGAATGTAAAGATTATGGTTGGTCAAGATCCAACCAAGGATCATGCCTGGTTAAGGACACTCGTGCTTACTTTGTGCACGTTCCCCTGTCAGCGCCTTCTCTTCCTTTCCCTCCTCCCTCCAAATCCAGCTTCCGCCCCCAGCCCTTTCCTTGCCCAGCATCCCCTCAACTGAAAGCTTGGAAATGATGCGTGCTTTCATTGATAAACCTTCCCCCCATGGGCTTTCACAACTAGAGCAAGCAAGGAAAGCACACAACTGAGCAGGGTGACTGCAGAGTCCTGCTGGTGTAGCTAACTTTTTCCCAAGCCCACTTCACATGCACGCTCATATTCAATGGTCTTCTCTCGTCCCGGTTGGTCTGTACTTGGAGCTCTGAAAAAAATCTGGCTAGTCCCATTGAAGTCAATAGGAGCAGTGCTCACAATGGGAGGTCCTGCAGCCACAACTGAGTGTTTGCACTCTCTAGCTCCCCTGGAATAAGCTTTCCAGTGCTTCACATCTCCACAAAATACCATGTGTACTGGAAGGGCCTGGGTTAGAGCCAGACTTTGCCAGCTTTGCTCCTGTTGCAGAGCACCATACTCTAGGCATTGCCCTACTAATTTCAGTGGAGAGAAGTGGCACTGGGTGTGAGGCACGGTGCCACAATCTGCTCCTAAATACTTAATTGTCATTTCTGGGTGGCATCCCAGCATGCATTCGCAGTACGCTGCCGTAGAAGAGATGCCTGTGGTAGGAGACGATGCCTGGTGAGAGTCATTGCAAGGAAACCCTCCTTATCGATTCCCAAGCTTTCAGGATGCCACTTGTTATTTCTATAAGAACCGGGGAACTTGGGCACGTGCCTCGATTTGTCCCCAAAATGCATCTCTGCTTGTCTGTCTCGTAAAGCAGCAACCATCTGGCCCATGGCATTTGTCAGCATTAACCTGACATCAGTAGTGTGTTTATCATTTGCCTTTGAATGCCAATGATCTCTCCTGTAATTGCTTATCTTCTGTGCTCTCTTGCCTCATTTTAACTTTGTCAACTTGATTCTCCCGTCTCTCTTATTCCAGTGCAAGTCAGGAATAACTCCTGAAGCCAGGGATGGCACATCAGTTTAAATGCAGGGTGCCTTGTGCATCCTTGTGTGCCAGGGGTAGTCAGCAATGAGTTTTCTCAACTACCTATGCTTGCTCCTTCTCTCCTCTGGCTGTTCCTGCTTCCTCTGCCGGGACACTCTTTCTTTTATGCTGCTGTTTCCCTGAAGGTGTTAAGACTTGCTGTGCTCTTGCCCTCCCTGATTCCCTGGCTCTGCTATAAGGCTGGGATTGTTAATGTGCTCATGGTGCGTAAGAGGGGAGCTCTTGGGAGCTGAGCTGAGAAGAAAGTGAAGAAACAGCAGGGAGACCAAAGATGCAGCTAACCCGAGGGCTGGGAGAGAGGCGAAGGGGACAGAGCCCTTCCCAGCAATGCTTTCCCCACCTGATGATGGCCAGATCCTTCTTTCTTCCTCCCGTCGGTCTCTTCCACTCCTCCAGCATCACCACAGACTGCCTGTTGACAATGAGGCCGCAGAGAAAGAGGGCAATGGGAGGCACAAACATGATCCCCATCCCGTACGCCGTGTTGTACTTGGGCAGGCAGGGGCAGTTGAAGTCAAAGGAGGTGTAAATCTTCACGCTGGCCAGGGCGAGAAGCCCGCAGATCCCATTCATCACCGACTCGGAGTTAGACTGGAAGTATTGGAAGATCATCCGGAACCGATCCATGGCGCCCCGTGGGCTGGGGCGGCTTCCCCCGGAGACCTGCTGACTTAGTTTGAGATCTTGGCTCCTGTCTCTGCGACCCTCTTGTAGGATCTCTGGCAATGTGGGGTTGGAGGCGACCCCTGCTTGGGATTAGACAGGCAGCTCGGGGCCTCGGAGTGGGCAGAAAGATGGAAATGGGGAAGCAGCGCTGCTCACGGTTATGCGTGAAGAGACCTGCATCCAGCTAAGCGGGACCAGATGAGCTCAGCTGCCTCCCTGGAGCCTTCTGAACACAGTCTTTCCAATTTCGCCTGTAGCTGTGCATCCTCTTTCAGGATGAGATCCAGCGGTCGGTTCCCCCACCTTGTAAGCAGGCCGATACGGCCTCACGGTGTTTGTTTTTCTTCCTCCGCTTTTCCCATCCCCAGAACTTCAATGCCTGCAGGTGTGTTGGTGTCGGGGACGTCAGCGCTGTGCCGTCACCGCAGCTGCCTTCTCCTGCCGCCTCGATTGTGTGCTGTTCAGTGATTCATCGCCGGCGGTTGAGAGAGATGGAGCTAGTCAAATAAGCGGGTCTGTTTACATGCCTCCTCCCTGTCCTTTGCATTAGGACGCTCGGTCTCTCTGAAGCTGTGATCTAGCAACTAGAGAGAGCCAAGAGATTTGGGCTCTTTGTGCAGCTCTGCATCCTACTTGCTGTGTGACTCTGGGCAAATTGCAAAGGGCCTGATCCTATTCTACCTGCTGAGCACTATTACATGTTAATTAGTGCAGTGTAATTATGAAGCATTAAGTTGAGTACCTGCTCAGTAGCACTGATTACGGCGCATTAAGTTAGTAACCGTTATTGCACGTCCTAAGCTTAATGCACCGTAATCGGTGCTATTGTGCATTAGTGCAAACGAACGCTGGTTTTGATACTTAAAGCTCATTGGACTAATGTACTGCACGTTAGTGCATTAGCACGGTTTTTGCCAGCTGCGCTAATGTGCAGTAGAATTAGTCTAATGGGCGTTAAGCGTCTCGTGTAAACGTCCCCGCTGTGCGCCAAAGTGGACTGAGGTGCCTGCGTGCGATCCTATTCCACTCTGCTCGGGTCTCTGGGAATCTATTAGTACACCTACTTGTGCAACACGCCAGCATTTGGCTCTCGAGATCGAGCTGTGAGGAGGAGGAGGAGGACCCACTCCTATTTGTATTAAGTTTTTCAAGGACGTGAGCAGGGACAAATTCCATTTTCAGCTCTAAGAGGTGCAACCTGCACCTTGGTCGGTCTCAGTTTCCCTGGCTAAATAGGCCTCGTCTTAACAGTGCTTGAGCACAGAGGGTTTCTTTGGCCTCTCTCCAGTCCTGTGACTGTTATTAAATGGTGCTCTTTAGGCAGGAGACCAGTGTTATCTAATTGTTTCCTCGCGCTCCCTCATGTCTGTGTCCAGCTGTTGCCTCTTGTCTTCCACTTGAGCATTGGCTCTATGGAGAGAAGAGCTTTGTACAGCGCCTAGCACCGAAGAGCCCCAATCGGAGACCAGGACCCCACTGTGCTCCGGTAACACCCGTCAACGATCCTTCTCAGTCACGGGTGATTGTCTTCCATGAATGCCTGATCTGTCAGCCCGAACATGGCTGATGGGGACAATTCGGCATCGCCAGGCTCTGTTACAGCTCGGGTATGTGTCTCCACGCAGGGTGGGCGGGCAACCAAGTGGTGCTGATCCTCCCCTTCTCGCAGAAGGTATTTTCCGCCCCACCGCCAAAGAAGCTTTTTTTTTCCTCTTTCTGATATTTAGTCTCAGTTTCTTCCTCCTGGCTTTTGTTTCAGATGAGGTGAGCATTCAGCCTCGCTTACAACTTGGGATCCGGCAGGTGTTCAGAAACCCCAGACCAGAGCACATGGCTGATTTGCAAATGGGGAAGGTGCAGATCTGCTTGGCTGGCAGGGTAATGGCAGCAGATGAAGGCAGTCAAATTCCTTCTCCTTGAATAAGACGGTCCTGTTTCAAATGCTAGGTTAGCTTGTGTATGTTGCTTCGTCATAAGAAGCCACTAGGCCAGGCTTCTGTTGGCCTAACGTGTTTAATATCTGGAAAGGGTGGAAGGTATGAAGTCATTCCCACACGTGTGCACACATGGTGTACTGCATCCCAGTTTGGCCATGCTCCATACAGATGTGCTCGAGCTTTGCAACTACAGACCTTGAGAGTCCACCTGAACTGGGCGTGCAGCTGGGTGGCTGCTAAGGTCACCTCCTCGTGTCTGTTTTGTGTCGGCGTATCAGCGTGCACAATTGCTCATCTACAGACTCAGAGCTGTGACATCTTTCTCACCAGTGTCAGGCCAGGCTTCTCTTGGTCTGGTGTATGTGGAGTATATGGACACCCAGCAGGACTAAAAATAAGCCTTTCAAAGGGCAAATGAGCGGCATGCAAGCTAGCGGGCATCCATACCTGGCGAGGAGAGGGGCACCACCAGGCCACTCTGCCCGAAGAATCACCAGTGGTGCAAAGCAACACAACTAGGGTTGTTACCGCATCTAAGGTGCCCCGATGGTTGCAGCAGCCTCGGGACTGACTTGACTCAATGCATTGCAATTTGCCGTTGGCTGGCACTCATCAGCAATAAAAGCTGGTGACGGATCAGCTGTAGCATTAGCATTACGGGACGTTGCAAGCTGCATTTGGCCTTGGTCAGAATTTGTATTTCCTTGCTTTCCAAATGCTCTTGACGTTGGCTGGGATTATTAGTTAATAACCCGCAGTTCTGTAACGACTTGGATCCAAAAGACTTTGTGAGCACCGTGTCGAAAAATCACCTCTTTAAGCAGATCATTTCACGCTCTGAAATGCTGCCACTTTTGGGGGCGAACACAACAATGGTGCCCAACAACCTTATGAAATAAATTGGCACTGGGGAAGTTGGAGCATCCCCTGTCCAATCCAACCTCGAAAGGGAATCGTCCCTAAGCAGAACGTACTTTGTCAGACTGAACGTTTGGCCTGGACATTAGCGGTCTGGCAAAAGGTGCCGCATCTGCTACTTGGAACGGAGACATGTTGGTGATTTGTGGCAAAAGTGGAACGTTTCACCGTTTGTCACAAACCAGATGGGAGAGGGAGAGTGCGAGCGCATGCCTTTCTGCAGGTGAACAAGGCAGTTGTCAAACACGGGCAGGGGTCTAGAATAATATTCACAATGAGGCGCAAATCTCTCGCCCGTCTTGCTCTTTTATTTAGAGGAAATGCGAGGAGAGGAGACCAGCCTGTGAAGTCGTGTATCCGAAGCTCGAGGGAGCTGGGCTGCTCCCAGAGCACCTGGCACTCCTCCGTGGGAATCGGCACCCCGTCCCTGTCCTTTGTCTCTCCCATTCGGGCTTTATGGGAACGTCTGTGACTCATGTTCAGGGAGCGGTTTGATGTGGGGCATCACGATCTCCTGGGAGGTCCCTCCTTGCCAGCAGTGAGCACCCACGGTTTTGTTCAAAAACATTGTTTCCCCCAACACCTGCTGGCACCCTTGCACATCTCCCCCAAGGAAACGGCAGGCTCTGGATTTAGTACCAAAGAGCATTAAAACAGCAGACGTGGAGGAGGGGAAGCCATTCTTTAATTAATCACAGGATTAAAACAGCCTTTTATCTGGGGGAGAAAAGCGAGGGGGGTTGTAGGAGAGAGGATAAGATGCAGAGGCTGCCAAGTGCCGTGTGTCATTGGCAGGATGGTGTCATCCAGCAGCAGCTTGATCCCGACGATGCAAAACAATCAGCGTTGCACAAAATGAACGTTGCAGACTTTGGCTTGTGATCTGTCAACAGTGGGGCCACCTGAGGCTGTCCAGCAAACTGAATTAGTGGGTATGCCTGTGTCTCTTTGTGTGCATGCACGCACACGTGCTGTAGGGAGGATAGCCACACCTCTTACTAAGGGTGTCAGGTGTGCTCTGTGCTAATAGTGTTTTTGTTCAGTTGGTTTAAACTTTGTCACTTGGGCTGAAACGTTCCTCTTGGGGTGTCTGCCCTGGCTGGAGCGTTTCCAAAAAGTTGTAGTCAAAATGGCTCTGCAGTTGATGGCTCGTTGTCATCACCTATGTGTTGTCGCACACAAGGGTCAAGGCGTGCACGCATAAACACACACACACGAACACTGACACACAGGTGATAAGGCGCACAGGAACTTGGGCATGCTCACAAGTGGATGGACACACAGATACGCAAGTATTTGGCATTACTTATATCATCTTATTTGTTAATGGATGCACATGCATTGACCTTCCCCATGTGTGTTGGCACACCCATACACACGCCAGCTCATACATATGCCCACATATGTTGTCACAAATGTATTAAGGTCAACACGTGTGCCAAGATGCAAATAAACACACACTGAGTGGCATACACATGCGCTGGCACTGCACACGTACTGGCACGTGTCGCACACTGATGCAAAGATGCACAGGAAGAGCATGCATTATTCTCTCTCTCTGTCACATCAGTGATGAACTTCCCAAATGTTGGCTTCCTGAAGTTGTTCTATCCCTGAGGCAGACACTATGTGAGCTATCGGGGATCTCCGCTCTCTGGCTACAACAGTCGGCAGGGTGTTTTGTGGGATGGGGTGGAGGGAATGACAAAAGAGCATAAGCATGCTTCTCTGCCTGCTTTTAGATCCCAAACTTACAGCACTGCCCTGGAGTTGCGTGGCCTTGACGGTACTTATGCTCACTGGGCTTGACTTCCTCTCTTGTGACTGTGCTGACATCAGTGGATAGACCAAGAGCAAGAGCAAACCCAGGCAGAGCTTGTTCTCAGCTTGCAGAAGATCACAATTCAGCAAATCTGACTCTAAGAGCATCTTCCTCCCTCCTGCCCCGGGTCATTAACTCTGCCGACAGGAATGCAGCTTCAGTGCCGCAGTCAATTTAAGTGAGGGTTGTATGACGCTGATGTGTAGCCAAGGAGCGGCCTCCCACCGTGGGGGCATTGGATTATTGCTTGCTCCGTAGCAGGAAACATCCAACGAAACGTGAAT